TATATATATATATATATATATACATATATATACATGCATAGCTGTAGACACAATTCTTCGGCATATATCAACATCCCGAACCAGAAGAAATTCGGAAACCGAAATCTAACACGTAAAAGTCCGGAAACGAAAATATTTACAAAAACAACAGCAGGAGCATGACTTCACGCTGGCCTTCAAGGAGGAATAAAGCAGCGAGAGCGGTCGAGGCCGCCCACACGCCCACTCCGGACTCCACGATGCGCGCCTCCCTCCTGCTCCTCTTCGCCGGCGCCGCCCTGCTCTGCCTCCTGCGCGGGTAGGGACCGGGCCCCGGCCTTTGATTTCGTTATTACAATTTCTTCATTATATGATGGCACTATGTTAGTGTTATTGCTGTTACTATTAATAGTAGTAGTATCATTATCATCATCACTTTTTTATTATAATTATCACTATAAATACTATAATGGTTATTATTGTCATTGTTATTGCTATCGACGTCATCAATTTCGAGTTTGCTTCCGATCTTGAAGCATATTCAACGATATCAGTTGAATTGCATAATGAATCCAGGAGTACATTTTACTGAATCTTCATTCCAGATTCAGAATATCGGAACTCCTTTACCACTCCTAATATAATAATCCTCAACACCGCGGGAGTTTATTAACACTCCCAGTCTAAAAATTAACCGTGTTCATGTTGACAATTGTAGAAAAAATATGACTGGGAATATTCTCATAATACAAGAGATGTATATGACCAGTTTCGAATACATCTCTGTTAGAATTAAATGCATTTCTGAAGAAGATATAATCGAAACCAGTCAAATAACCTTTTGTATTGTGAAGATGATCAGCCATAACTTTTCTACACTCCCAGCCTAGTTTAGGTTAGGTTAGATAATGTAAGGTATTAGGCGCCTGAGGTGAATGTCACGTCTTCTCATAACCTGCTTTTGCTCATGACCTCGCAGGACCGAAGCTCATGAGTGCCCCAAGACTTGCGAGGCCATGATCTGTCCTGACACAAAAGACTGCGAACACGGCACTGTCAAGGAACGCTGTGGATGTTGCGACGTCTGCAAGAAGGGTGAGGTCGTGTGTGTGTGTGTGTGTGTGTGTGTGTGTGTGTGTGTGTGTGTGTGTGTGTGTGTGTGTGTGTGTGTGTGTGTGTGTGTGTGTGTGAGAGAGAGAAGAGAGAGAGAGAGAGAGAGAGAGAGAAGAGAGAGAGAGAGAGAGAGAGAGAGAGAGAGAGAGAGAGAGAGAGAGAAGGGGGTATAGAGGGAAAGAGAGAGGAAGGGGGAGAGGGAGAAAGAAAGAAAGAAAAAAGAGAGAGGAGGGAAGGAGAGCGAGAGAGACAAACGGACACAGAAGCAGACAGATAACGCAGAAAAAAACAAACCTCTAAAACATCCTTGTCCCCTCCCCACGACAGAGACAGGGCGAGAAGTGCGGCGGCCACGAGCACGAGGACGGCGAATGCGACCCCCCGTTCGAGTGCAAAAACGGCTTCTGCTGTTAGCGCTCCCGTGTCCACCTTGGTACGGATGATCAGATTACATAATTGTCAGAACGTAAGTGAGAGAGATACGATCGATGTATAATTCTAAAAATTCTAAAAATAAAATAAGCAGATAAATGAAAGAAACATGACCTAAAAAAAGAAAAGAATATTCAGTCAATACATTTTATGTTTTACAAGTTTAAATGAAATATGCTCTGTTTGTCTTACTTATAAATGTTTTTCTTCAGATTTCAGGATAAAAGAAAAGGGGAAAACAGGAAAATATGGAAGCTATGACATTTGTTGATGATAGAAAAAGAGATGGGGAGGAAAATAACAGGAAAATATAGACACCGTTGGCCATTTCAGGATAACAGAAGAGAGTCAAGTCGCGGATTATATACACTCGATACCAACGTCAAGCTTTAGTGTTCACAAACCTACCAAGCGCTTCAATATTATATGCAGCAACAAATCACGCACGAATATGGTATCTCTTCAGAAACTTCCAACTGTTATCCATGACCTTTCTCTGGAATTTCAAGGGCGCAGCCGACCCCACGCGCCCCATCACAGTCTAATGTTTCTTACCAAGTCATCTCGTGTTTTGCTTATAGGAATATAAAACAGTATTATTATTCATAAACATAATCGGCCACACAAAACAATTATTTTCCATATTTCTTTGAAAATTGAAAAGCTCAAAATCAATAATAAACCTCATGTGCTTTTTCCAAAAATAGAATAGTAATTTTTGTGACGTCATCAAATGCAGTCGCCATGACACCTCGAGTTACTACTGATCTGGCCTTTCCCTTAATTTTGGGTCGTGTGAATTTATTCCTCTGTTGAGTGTACCAAATATTGTAACGGCCATAAAAACATTTTTAACCATTAATATTTTCTCCAGTAAACAAATCATAATAACAGGTGGCATGTCATTATGGAAATCTTTACAATGAACATAATTATTTAAACAAGCAATATTCTCCACTAACATAATTCACACTTAAGGTTGACTCTAAACCTCCCCTTTTACTAGTAATATGAATCAAAAATAATTTTAAAGAAACAAAATAAAAATATACATGAGACTGTATCGAGACCCTTACACCCAGTCTATCAGTATTCTTCCCATTTTACAAGGACATAAGCCAATCGTTCCCCCATCCTTTAATTTTTATATTTTTTTCTCTCTTACACTTCCCTCTAATATATAATTCTCTTCTCAAGGTATTCATTGATACCACCAGAACTTTCACCTACGACTAATTCCGTTACTGCATCCACGGGCCATTAAAATATTTCAATAAATTAGGAATAAATTTTGCCAAGCAATTTAGCATTATGGCATGTTGTTCTCGCTGCATTTCTGCCTTTGTACACGGGAGACAGCAAGGACTCACCTTATTTATCATAAATCAATACAAAGGGATTTAACAATTACGTTAATACACTTCTCAAGTATTACACTCTATAATATCAGGGTAATACACGACTTTAAAATAGCAAGCTTGAACCTACCTCAGGCACGGAAGACAGCAACTACTCCTGGACCAGAAATTCTTATCCTTAAAATAACGGACTTATTGCTTTCCCAAATTATTAAACACACAAACTATTTATAAATGATTATCATAATTTACTATATTATAAAACTGGATTTCGCTATACTGATGTCTTTAGAAATAAGAAAAATATGTAAACAAATGTTTCGGTGACGTTTTAGTATATACATCTTTGAAATTTGAACCAATGCATCTTTTTAAATGTCCAATAAATAATGATCACACACAAACACCAAATATGTATATATATATATATATATATATATATATATATATATATATATATATATACATATATATATATATATATATAATATAGTATATATATTATATATATATAACGCAATATGTTTTCATGTATTTATGAAATGTCTGTATGTATACATATATGTACGTATGCATGTATGTATTTGTTTGTATGTGTGTACGTACTGTATGTAGTTGTGTACGTCTGTACTGTATAAATGTACTACAAGCATTTACACAAACACACAACACTACAGTATCTGGGATGAACTACGTCCGAGAACGGGCAATTCTTTATTTTCGGAAGGGGGGGGGGGGTGGCAAGGGTAACATGCCATCGACCCAATTTATACCTGCCGTTGCATCCCTGGTTTGCCATAACTCGAGCAATGTTTCTCCATCTCTTTGTGTAAGATACATGGTAGTTCGAAGTAACAGTGCGTAAATAAGGAAGTACAACATAGGAAAAGTGAATGATGTTTTCTCTCATTAAAAAAAAAAAAAAAAAAAAAAAGATTATTACAACTCATTCGGATATGGTGAACGACCACCAGAGAGTATGAATAAAATACATGATCTCCCGAAAAAAAAAAAAAAAAACGGAACAAAGGAAGGAGAAAAGGACGCAGAAAGTCAGAGAAGAGCTGTGCTTCGCGTGTCACAGGACTTCTGTCAAGGTTCTACCGAGGAAAGATATTTATTTTCAAATGCTATCTCACCGACGAGCTCCCAGAAATTCCTGCTGGACCTCTTCAGTAGGATTTTTTGGGAGGTATAGCGTTGACAGCATATGGAAGAGGTTATAAGTACTGCCGTCTTCAAATCTGGTAATGGTGTAGACATACCAGTGATCAGTTGCAAAAATAATCAACCTTAGACTATCATCGCTTTGGGAAAAGCCGCCGTCGCGTTGACGACAGACGAGTTCAAAAGTTTCGTGTCGACTACAAATCACACTCACTTTTTTCATCACAGCTGTCTCCTATTTCGTAAAGGAGAACAGCAGAACGCAAGAGACTGAATCAAACTGTACTAATATAGAGAAAAATATAGACAGCACTACATATAGACGATTTCAGCACGTCCCTGCCCAGGGGGGAATAACAGGAAGAGCGAGAAGGTAATCGGACTGCAGCGACTCGGGTTGTGCAACGGGCGACGTGGCGCACGAAGCAAACACGCGTGCTGCCTTTTGATTACTAAATCCGCCAAGAGGTTATGTTTCTGGTCGCGTTGGTTATTTAGTTTGTTTGTTCGCGCACTGCATGTTACCCCTATTGCCTTGGCAGTAGGGGTAACATGTAATGATAATAGTTACCCTATTGCCAAGGCAATGCGGGTGACTATTATCATTAACATCACCTTCATCACCTTCGCCAAGGAGGTGATGTTTATGGACGTCACTAATGTACTTAAAGAGGTGTCCTGAGTAAATCTTCAAGTGTGAATATTTTCATTGCATCTGTGACCCTCTCTACATAGCGGGCATATGCGCACCCTTAGTACTAGTTGAATCTAGTTGAATCTAAAATCAAATCCAATTCTTGCGTGGGCGCCTACCATCACAGGATTGAAGTTCAAGGGAACAAAAGAGCTCATTATCTTGCTGGTCATCTCCCGTTACTGAGTGCCGGACTCTACGTTGGTTCGGGGTTTTCCCTAAGCGCTTTGTTCGAAGAAGAAGCAGCTTGTTATGCATGGAACATAGTTATCAGCAAACGCAATGGTTCTTGATATACGGTGTGTGTGTGTGTGTGTGTGTGTGTATACTGTATAGAGATATGCATATGTATAGATATACATCTANAGAACACAACAAGTTATGAACAGAATTTGACCAGAGGCGTGTCTTGACCTAAATTAGATCCCTTTAGATATTGGTGGTGATCCTGATCGTGGTTCGGATCCAGAATGGTTTTGATTCCATCATTGCCCTTATCGCCTTGTTTATGGACGTCGCCTGTGAACTTGACAAAGGCGATTTCAATGTAATTCCTTGCTGGATTTTTTTTTTTTATTGCGTCAATGATTTTTTCAGTGATTTTTGAATATTTTTTATTGCATCGGTGACTTTTTTCCTTGGCGGAGGCATGTAGTCTCTGAGTCCTAGTTATATGTATAATTCGTTACTAGTTCAAAATTTATAAATTCGTTTCTGGTAAATCAATCTGCCAGACTGATATATATATATATATATATGTACACAAGTACAGGCATAAGCTAAAAAGTGTGATTTATATCAGGAACACTGAAAGGATGTCGCATTCGTGTTCAAAAACCCACTTAGATTCATGATAAAAAACAGAACCAATATCGCTAAAACATTTATTTCACCATTAATAAGCACTCACAGACACATAGACATCAAGACCTAAATGAAGATAAGATAAGATAAATCCTCCCTCCCTCCCTCCACCTCCCGTCCTCGCCCCCGCCCCCCCAGAAGCACCCCCGGTCCATCTCCTCTCCGAGCATCTCCTCCGAATCCTCATCTCCTTCACAGCCTCAGCGACCTCCCTCCGCAGACGGTGATGCCGCTGCCGGTCACGTAGGAGGACGAGGGGGACGCCAGGAAGACCACGGCGTCCGCGACATCCTCCGCCGTCCCGATCTTCCCGAGGGGCGTCCGGGAGAGCCATTCCTGTAGGAGGGTAGGAGGGAAGAGGGAAGGGGGATGGTTTGTATCATGTATTGTTTATATGTGTGGGTATAGCTATCTATCTCTTTGTAGATCTATCTGTCAATCTGTCTCTCAGTGTGTGTATAAATACACACAAATCCTACATCAATGTCATTATCTTTGTCATTATCATTATAATTTACTTTCTCTCTCTCTCTCTCTCTCTCTCTCTCTCTCTCTCTCTCTCTCTCTCTCTCTCTCTCTCTCTCTCTCTCTCTCTCTCTCTCTCTCTTCTCTAAATGCACTATCTACACAATATAACAAAGCCATTCTTCACCATGAATGAAGAACCAGGTCACGCCCCCTTACCCCGCCCACCCACCCACACATACCTTTCTGAAGGCGTCGTCGTGATGGTCCTGCTCCACCTCGGGCCACGCCACCGCCCCCGGGCAGATGTAGTTGACTCGCACCTCCAGGAGACACGAGTTGAAGGCGTGAGGAAATGGGTGAGTTGGAGTTGCAAGCGCGAGTAAATGGGTATTTTCGTGTTAGAAATGGAAGGAACTAGGTAAGTTGATGCTGGTGGCGTGAGTAAATGAGTGTATTGGGGTTGTTAAACGTGTGTAAATGGGTGATTTGGTGTTGGAGTCGTGAGTAAGTGGGTGATTTGGTATTGGAAGCGTAAGGAACTGAGTGGGTTGGTGTTGAAAAAAGTACATGGGTAAAGTTAATGGGTAAACAAGTAAACAGGTAAATGATAAGCAGCAAAACTACTCGGTATGATGTGTCGAATATTTGTGACAAGTTTGGCCTTTCATATGACGCTAATCATAAATATATCTATTTACTATCATGTCAATCAACTTACTAATTTTTTTCTATTAAAAGGAATATTCAAAGGGCTTTAAAATATTAATCCTCAAGCAATGAAAGAACCGAATACAAACTATAGAAGTAGGCATATCCACACACTCTAGACTATTATGTAATGATGTATCCATTAACTGAAGATTTTGTGAAAGGAAAGGACACGTTAACCCTTTATCTTGCACTGAGGACGACAAGCTATCTGAGATATTAAAAAGATATGCCAGTTTGGCTTGTAACAGTTTATGAAGCAACCTTATATATATCTGTGATACTGAAGGTGTATTTCAAGTAAATTAGTAACTGTACTGCAATATGTTATCTGATAATCAAATTTGTGAATTGGGTAAAATCACCTAGATCACTGCCATTCATGTATGTATATTTTATATGTAATTAATAAACTTGAAACCCCAAGTATTAATCTGCAATCTGCAATCTAATCATCCTTCCCCTACCTCCTCTTCCTCCCCCTATCAAGTATTAATTCGCAATCTAATCAACCTTTCTTTCCCCTTCCCTTCCCCTACCTCCTCCCTCCCCAACCTCCCTCTCCCTCGTCCATCACCTCCCCTACCTCCCCCCACCCC